TGGCAATCTAAAGAATTTGTATTTAATTTTCTGTAGGCAATGTTGAGATACTAGAGATATTTAGATTGGGAACCTATGTTTTAGAAAGAGAACTCGTTTGTCAGGTTTGGCAATTTCATTCTGTGTTCTCAGTTTTTGGTGTGCTCATGGCTGAAGAATGACCAGACACACCAAAGTAAGGCAAGTATGAGATGAAATTTATTGAGAGGGAGCAAGATAGGATTATAGAGCAAGAACAATATATAGGTTTACAGAGCAAGATACCTATGCCACAGATGACAACTGGATCCCTTGTCGTAGCAAAAAGAGAGAGCTTGGTTATGGTCTGGGTCTTGTTTTATAGTGTTTGGATTGTGACCTCTTGTGGTTCAGACGTCATCATGGGACCACTTTGATTGGATAGTTGGGAGTTATACAATCTGAGTCTTACTACTCATGCATAACTCCCATGAACCTCTCTGAAAGCCCATTTGGGATGTGCATCCCAACTGGGATGAATAAGCACCATGTTTGGTCCAATTCCCCCCTCTTCCTTGGGAGCTGGTCCTACATTCTGTCATGTTAGGAACAGCACCTGATCTTCCAAGGGAGGCCTGTGGTTTTCCAATACTGCCATAAGTGGGTAGGTAAATCTGCCTAATTCTAGGATTCAGATAAACCACGTTCCCAAATAGCTGTTTTTCCTTTCCAGTAATAAACAGTATGACCATTTGTCCCAGTTTAGGCATGCTGGGCCAGGAGCCCATCAGGTTAGTGTCCCTTTCACTCTCAGAAGTGTCCCATTTTTCACAATAAATTATATTCTCCCTCTAGTAATAAAAGTGGTATTCTGATCTCTGTGCTCACTTGTATGTGACAATCTCTAAATTGGTTCAAATTCAAGTGCAGAATACAGAAGTATCATATGCAAAAAATTCAAATGTAAGACACACTATTAGTTCTCATGATGCTTATTATAAAGGAAATTGGAGGTATAAAATAAATACAATATAAAAATACAAAAAGTATGTGAGTATATGCTATGATTTGAGTATTTGTCACTTCCAAAACTCATGCTGAAATTTAATCCCCAATGTGACAGTACTGAGAGGTGGGGCCTTTCAGAATTCATTCAGGGCCGGCAGACCAAGGCGGGAGGATTGCTTGAGCTCAGGAGTTTGAGACCAGCCTGAGCAAGAGTGAAACAGGAAAAATTAGCTGGGTGTGGTGGTGCACACCTGCAGTCCCAGCTACTTGGGAGGTTGCGGCAGGAGGATCACTGGAGCCCAGAAGTTTGAGGTTGCTGTGAGCTAGCCTGATGCCATGGCACTCTAGCCCAGGTGACAAAGTGCAACTCTGTCTCCAAAAAAAAAAAAAACAAAAACAAAAACAAGAGTTCGTTTAGGAGGGCAGAACCCTCATGAATGGATTAATCCATTCCATTCATGGATTAGTGGATTAATGGGTTATCATGGGAGTGGGACTGGCGGCTTTACTAGAAATAGAAGAGAGACCTGAGCTACGATCCTTAGCTCCCTCACCATGTGATGCCTGCACCACCTTGGGACTCTGCATAGAGTCCCCACCAGCAGGAAGGCCCTCAGCAAGTATGGCTCCTCGACCACAGACTTCTCAGCCTCCATAAGTGTAGGAAATAAATTCCTTTTCTTTATAAATTACCCAGTTTTAGGTAGTCTGTTATAAGTGACAGAAAACAGGCTAAGATAGTATGGCACAGAATAGTATGAGGGTTTAAATGAGGGTGGGAGATCACATTGGGTTTGGAGCCTTGGGAAGGTTTCTCATCAGTCTGAGATATATGAGGGCTGTCTGGAAAGTATCCTGTTAATATAACAAGAACAGTTAGATGGCTGGTTACTTTCCGGACAGGCCTCGTATATGCCATGTCACCCATCTAGTCATTTATATGCAGGTCATCTTCCCTACTGGCTTACATGATTCTTAAGGACAGGAAAGTAGATCCTATCCATCTTTAACTTGTCCATTGCCTCAATATAACAGGTAATCACAAAATTAAAGAGAAATAAATGGATGAGTAGCATTTTAGCTGGCCCTTAAAGGATGAGCAGGGCATGCACAACCAATCAGAGGGGCATTCTAAACAAAGGAAGAGTCATCTGTCCTATGCCTGGGGTTTCTTAACCTTAGTGCTACTGACACTTTGGGCCAGATAATTCTTTGTTGGGGTGGGGTTGAGGCTGCTGTCCTGAGTACAGTGGGATATTTAGCAGTATCCCTGGCTTCTACCCACTAGAAGCCAGTGCAACACGATCCTCCCCCAGTTGTGATAAACAAAATTTCCCCCAGACATAGCCAAATGTCTCATGGAGAGCAAAATCATTCATTTCTTCCTCCATCCCCTTCCACTGAGCACCACTGGCCTAGAGGAAAGAAAATAACATTTATTGAGTGGCTGCTAATGTGTAAGGCTCTATGCTAGGTGCTATGGAGATTCATAAAATAAAAGACATATCTTTCTACTAAGAAGACAGAAAGTATTATGTATAAAAATAGATGCAAAAACATGCTATCAGAATGCCAAGAACAGGGGATGAAGATTACATTTAGTACAAGCTGAAATAGTCCTTTTAACATTTGGGGGTAAAATAAAAGGCTGAGACTGGGTAAGGTTGTGGAGAGTCTTGGATGCCACCTAAAAAGATTTGTGAACAAGGGAAAAATATGATAAGACCTCTGTTAAATAGACAGAATATTGTCTTCAGGGAAGCAAATGTAGAATCTAAATAGATCAAGCATTTAATAATATGGATTTTGATAA